CTTTAAAGTCCCTGCTTCTGCACCTTTCAAAGGGGCAGCTGTGGAGCCCAGGGGTCAGCTGGGGACTGCCAAGCTGATCCCGGGCTCCCTGTAGCATTTCCCCAGAACCCAGGATCAGTCCCTAGCTGATCTCAAATTCCGGGGAAATGCTGTGGGGAGCCTTGGGTTAGCTGGGCAGTCCCCTTTGAAAGGTGCAGAGGCAGCATTTTAAAGGGGAAGCTGCCGCACAGCTGATCACAGCTGTTGCCTTTCAAAGGTGCACTGGGGCCCCGGGCCAGCTGATCCCGTGTTCTGCATGGCACTTCCTGGGAACCCAGGGAAGTGCGGGGGAAGCCGATCTCAGGTTCTGGAGAAGTGCCGGGGAAATGGGGATCAGCTGGGGAGTCCCCAGCTAACCCTGGGCTCCTAGCAGCATAGCATGGAGCCCGGGATCAGTGGAGGACTGAGTCCCCTGTGCTGACTCTGGGCTTCATGGCTTTGGAATGCACAAAGCCCCTGCTGGGGACTCTTGTGCATTTCAAAGCAGGCACAGGGCGTGCAGCCTGGAGTCAGCAGGACTTCTTGCTGGCCTCGGGCTGTATGCAGAGTTCCACATTCCTCCTTTGAAATGGTACATTTCAAAGGAGGAATGCGGAAGTGCCTATCGACTAGTCGATTAACCACATTTTAACATCCTTAATCCACATATACTGTGTATAGGGAAGCCAACAAGAATTATTTCTCACCCTTTTCCTAGGGATAGTAGAGACAAATAGGAATTTGCTTCCCTCACTCCCCCTCCTGTCCCCTGTGTTCAGACAGATTCCTTTCATCCATCTGTTTTCTACCATTGTATTTAAGTTTTCTACTGTCTTACACCAAGCGCAATATGAAGACCTTGATATTAACAAAACACCTCTTTTAAAGTCACATTTGCTGCAGGAAAGACTGGGTCAGGAATTTGCAGTCACATTATAAAAGAGTTTTTGGAGCTTTGAAAAGAATAGTTTCTTGGGTGGATCATCATTTTTGGAATTTGCAAGAAGGCTAAAGCAGTACATTCTCAGTTTGATGTAAAGAAGAGAGACTAATTTTTAGCTCTTTTAAAGAGATGGGTTTTCCCCCCCACATTGCAACTCAAGCAGAGAGAAACTATACGCAGAAGTGAAGCCTCTGGTAGACAATTTTTTTTTAAATGCCCAAGTAATTACCTACTTCCACCCAGCCTTTCCATTGGATCTTGGTAATGCTGTATTTGTGCTGCCAGCCTACTCTTCTGATGTCACAAATTCAATGTTACAGCTTCATTGGATGATCAAAGAGGATGGTAAGCTGACAAGCAGCATTCAATTTGAGGAAGCAATGGGCCTGCACCCCACTGTTTGAGACTTGATCGAAACACTACCATTCAGGAATGTTCTGATCTTTATTGTAAAGAAAGAGCACATTAAAACCGAATAGGATACATATTGGATCCTACAATTATTTTCTTCCCTCCTCCAGCCCCAAATAAAAAAATAAGGTGTTCAGCTCTCATGGTTTGGGCCTAGCAGTAACTTAAACAGAATTATCCCCAACAAGGAATGTTTGAAGAGAAAAGTGAAATGTGATTTAATGCATGCTTTAATTGAGATGTTCTGGAAAAGTCTCCCTTCCCATGAAAGCACCACCTTTAAAAAGGTAGGTGGTTTTGGACAGAGCCTCGCAATGCTGCATTGAATGTGCTTTGTGATGCTTCTTTTCAGTATTCTTCACTGAAGGGATATTCTGGATGGTCACGCCACCTGTAAAAAGAATTCAGATAAAGGGCGTTTACTACAGAAGTTATGCACAGCAACCCTGGGCACTAGTCATATTTATACAGTGCCTAGCACAACAGGCTGCAGAACTGGTTGAGGTCTCTGCTACTGTAATGAAGTGTTAGTAAGAGTAACCCAAATAGGTGAAGGATTCCACTTACTACTTCAGCCTAACGGAGTCAGCTAGTCAAAAGTTGTCCATTGACCTATGTGAACAGTTATGGGGTAGGATGTGTGTATTAGTTAAGTTCCACGTGGACTGGTATTCATACCACACAAGTCAGCATGGGCATTGACAGCCTTGTGGTTAACCTCAAGAAACCAGAGCTTTACCAGGCCTGGAAAAAGAGAGGATCTCCTCCTAAGTTCCCTGTAGGCTGTGTAGCCATATGGTTACCTAGTTATCACCATGTAGGTAGTTAAGACACCTGTCACCTGAGGAGGGCTGCCCCACCCCCAACTTAGCCTTCAGCCTGATGACTGGGGGAAGGACAGTGTCAACCAGGCACTTCTCATTCAGGCTGAACTCAACTGTGGCCTGGGCTTGAGCCCCCACTCCCTGACAACCCTACCCTCTGCCCCACCCCCCAGACATAAGACTGGAACAAAGGGTTAGGGTGCAAGGGCTAAGGCCCTCATCCCTGGCCCCATCCCCAAAGCCTACACCCCCAGCCAAAGCCCTCATACTTCTGCACCCCAACCCTAGGCCCCCTTCCACACTCAGCACTTTTGTCCCAGCGCCACCACACAGCTTTTGTTATGTGCACCAATGTGAAGGTGATGCATCGCACAACAAAATTCATTCTGCTCAGGAGTGGGGAAGATTAGAGGGAACACTGATCCTCTCCCAGTCACAGAGGAGGCACATTAGTGAAGAGCAGATTAAGGCAAGCTTTCCTGGTCTTGTTGCTAGAAACTTCAGGACTATGGTTAAACTCTCTCAACTCAAAACATGCTACGCAAGTTTTAGAAAGCAGGGGTAAAGCTGCTGGCTTTCCTACTTCAGCAGAAAAAAAAATTCCACTGTTTGATGGATGCTATCAGGGCTGGCGTTAGGAAGTGCGGGGCCCAAATCGAACAATTTCAACAGGGCCCCACAGCAATTTTGGTTGAACAAAAACAAAAAACAGCACAAAAAAAATCCCCTGCCAACACACCCACCCCCTCTCGCAGCACAGGAAAACCCTGCACTAAACTCACACCTCCAGCCAACGCACTCCTCCTCCAGGGTTGGCAGATTTGTATAATTTTTGGTGGTCCTCCATTAGCCACACTCTCTGATCCCCATTAACTAGGCTTCTGGAGGTAACACGCTCGGGGCAACATGGACACATGACCAGAAGTAAAAGGTGTCATGTCACCCCTTTTGAAGGACTTTTCCCACCATCCTCCTACCAACAGGGATTAGTTTGGCCCCTACCAAACCCCCCTCATGCAACTATCCTGCAATTGCATTAACCCAATGTGTGTGACATTAACTCGGGGGCAGAGAGACTGGGGGAAGTGTTCCCTCTAAGGCTACATCTACACTCGCTTCTTCTTGTGCAAGTACAGCTGTTCTTGGACAAGAACCCACAGAGTATCCACACGGTCCACATACGAAATTTACAGTATTGTGTGGTAAGAGAGGGTGTCTTGCCCAAGAGCTACGTTCTTTTCTAACAGGTGTAAGCTTTCTTGTGCAAGAGGGCAGTGTGGATGCTCGGCAGGGATTTCTTGCACAAGAAACCCCTATAGCTAAAATGGCCATCAGTGCTTTCTTGCTCAAGAGAGCATCCACACTGCCATGGATGCTCTTGCACAAAAGCACAGCTCACACATGGCAGTGTGGACATATTCTTGCGCAAGACTTTTTGCACAAGAACCCTTGCGCAAGATGTTCTTGCACAAGAAGCCGCTAGTGTAGACATAGCCTAAGAGTTTCCTCCCATGAGCAAAATGGATTTTGTGTTGTGCACCTGCACTGAGTTCATGTGGCTTGTTTGGATGTGACACTGTGGCACCCAAGTTATTAATATATATTTTATAAACCTTTACCTTTTCTCTCTGCTGCCATGTCTTCTCCCCTTGCTCCATCAGCTCCCCTGGTGCCCGCTGCCCCCCAACTCCTCACCCTTGTCTGCTGTCCTGACTTCTGCCCTTCTCACTGCCCTCAGCTCTCCTACGACCTACCCCCCGCCCCCAGCCCTTCTCTTCTCCCTGTGCCCACTCCTCCGGTAGCCCCACTCTAATCATGTGAGCTACCCCTCCTCATCCCGTCTTCCAACACCTCCCTCTACAAACCTGCCCTGCGTCTCTCCTCTGGTGCTGGTCCCTCCCCTGAAGGTGTCTGCCCTTCTGCTTCACCTCCAGAATCCCCTGGCACCTGCACTTTCCCTTAGCCCTGCACCCTCCTGGTACCTTCCCCTTTCCTTACTGCCCCTGCCCCCTTTTTCCCTGATGCCCACCCCCTCACCACTCTCTGCCCCGTGCCCCTCTGTGCCCTCACACATGACTTGCTCCATCCCCACCTTTCTCATGCCCACCCCTTCTTTCAAGCCTCCTCCCAGCACCTCTCCCTCCCCTCTGTAGCTCCCCCCAATGCCCTTCCCCTCTCCTCTTCTCTCCCAGCATCACCCTGTCCCCCCTCCCACTGACACCTCCCCTCCTGCCCTTTTCCTCATTGTCTGCACTTGGCCCCTGGCATTTGTCTTTTCCCCAGCCTCTCTCTTGGTGCCTTCCCCTTTCTTCCCCCTCCCCCTCCGCATAAGCCCCTTCCCCCTAGTTTCCCCCCTCTCCTATGTTCTGCCTTCTACTTTGTGGGGCCGGAGTCTGTGCTCGGGCGCCAGGCCATGCGATGCAATGTGCCTCCGAGGAGTTTTAAAGTCCCGGGCTGTGACATCATGTCACAGCCGGGCATCCTCCCCACTCACCTGCATGTGCCGCACATGGCAGCAGCAGTGAACACTGGTGAGGGGGAACCGCATTAAGAGCTGTGCACGGCAGGGATGGTCCAGTGCCCGGGGGAGAGAGGGGGAGGGAAGAGGGAATATGCTCTGGGGGCAGGGTGGGAGGACGCACGGGGGGGTCCGGGACCCACTCCAGGCAGAGCCGGGGGGAAGAGACCCAGCTCCACATATCACTGCAGCAGGGCCCTGGCTCTAAATATTAACTCACTGCCCATAGTGCCCGGCCCACTTCTGGGTTCAGGGTGTGGGGCCCCATTCAGGGGAATTGGGTGAATCGGCCCAAGGCTGGCCCTGGATGCTATATGGCAAGACTGCTCCTTAGCTAGAGTCCAAATACTGGCTTAACTTAGAGGAAAGTCAGAAAAAGCAGATCTGAAAGAGATGCATCTCTTTCGCTCAAGTTGTTTGAGCCACCTTGGATAGGTCTACTCCAGCTGGGCTCTCCCCCCATGAGTGTTTGGCCTACAAGACCCTCTGACTGTTCCCTTTCATTAAATTGCAGTGGCTCAGCATGGGTGTGGATACCCCGCTTAGCAATTGAACAACATTCATGTTTTAGTCACAGGGAGCCTTTGAATGGCCTAATTAAGGGGAAGCAGAAGGGGAAGGAGAAGTTCATGTATGCTAGTGATTCCTTTTACTGTGTGAGCTCCTTGGTGGCCTGGAACAGTCACCACCACTTGAGAAAAGAAGAGGAGAGAAGGTTAAAACAGAGATGGAACTGAGTCGAACACCACATACAGGCCTGTTGGCCTTGCCCTGTCAAGCCTCGGAACCATATGCAAATACTGCAAGTTTTGCTTAGAAACCAATTTCATCTTATGGGCTGAAACACTAGGCCCAAACATCTCTCCATGCTTTGATGTTTGACGTTCAGTTGCTCTTGTCCCCATGAAATAAGCTCTTAAAACAACACAGAGGGGATTGGGCATGGAAGTGTTCGCATGGCAGGATTTACAACATCAAGAACTGAACACTGTTCAGGAGCTTCCATTCACTTGCTACCTGCCTGGGATACAGCTTGGACTTACATTAGCAACTCCACATAGCGGATGTTTTTATTCAAGGCTTCAATGTCCTTCATTTCTTTATCTGAGAGTG